AGCCTGTGACAGCTCTGCTCTGCCCAGCCCAGGTCAGCTTTGCCCTTCCCACTCACACCAGCCAAAGCCAGCCCTTCTGTGCCCATTCCACCCCATACCCGCCATTCCCACCTGTGCCAGGCCTGCCCTTTGTTCTCCCAGCCGAGACACCCTCTGCCTGCACCACCCCGGCCCATCCCATGCCCACAGGCTCTATTGCTGTAGCCTGTGGTGGGGCCCTGCCTTTCGTGGAGCCATTCCGCTGGCCCTGCTTTGTATTATGGAATAAATCCTGGTGTTTGTATGCCCTGGTTGGCATGTGTCCTTCCTTGTCGCACTGGGGGCTACCGTCTGACCTGCCCCACACTGGCTCTGGCTCTGCAGAACACGTGGTGCAGGCACGGCCACAGGGACGCTGGGGCCACGGCTGCAGGCTGCGGCCTCCCCCTCCCTCAGTAGCTTTTCTGGGCTGTAGTTACCACTGAGGTGTGGCAGAGCCAGCTTGGAGTTCAGCTTGACAGATTCACAGCTGCCTCGGTTTCCTGTTCTTCATGATGAATCATGTTCCCTGCCCCTCTGCTGCCACTTGCCACCAGCTCTGCTCCTCCCAGCACCGTGTCAGATGGGACCAAGGCCTTTGTAGACCAAGGTTTGTGAAGGGCCCAAGTGACACAGTGGCTGATGGAGCCTGCTTGTGCAGGCAGCTGTGGCCCTCCCCGCAGAGCCACATACGTAGTGACCCTTGGTGAAGCCTGGCTGGTGCCGGAGAAGTGATGTTAATTGAATCCAGGGAGGAACGGGGGGTGTTTTGCTGGGGAGGGGGGTTTCTGCTCAAAAGCTCTTCAGTTCTTGGTTATGTTGGAAGTGTGGCCGTTTGTGTTGTGCAGCCGGGAGCCCAGTCGCTCATTCCTCTCGCTGTCTGCTCCAGGAGGGTGCATGTCTCCGCCTGAGCTTGTGCCGCTGCGAGAGGTATGCAGCAGAGGCAGCAGGATCGCATGTCTATGTTCCTGAGCCAAGATTAATTATAGCACCTTTGGCAGCTCTGCTAGAATTGTCTGGGACTTGCTTGCTGGATGAGTATTCCAAGGGCTCCAAAATCTGTATGCTAGTTGGATCAGCATGACGTTTTTTGTGCTTCATGGGGATGCAGGGTGGGATTAGTGATCCAAATCTGGGGTCATTTGAGCAAGGAGCTCCTGAGATACAACCCCACAAAATCATCTGGTTCTTATAAAGTCATTTTCCTGGGGCTCAAACGGTCATTCTGATCCTCCCTTAACTGATCTCAGCTCTTGGGATTTAGATCTGCTAGTGCAGGGCACCTTCTGTCCCCTGGGGACGCAATATTGGATAAGTTACTCAAGGTAAACGTGGTTGCTTCTTGTTGGCTTGAGCTAATGACATGTCAAAGAGTGAAATGCACATGTCTAGTGAAACGCGTGCATCTCTTAGAACCCATTGGCTTTGCTGGTATTGGCTGTCAGAGTATCTGCATGGCTCAAGGTGACGTGCTATGGCTGCCCAAGCAGACTCTGTTTTTACCTTAGAATTAGTGGCAGGGAAATTAGCATTAACTAGTCAGAGGGAAGATGAAAGATGCTACTAGGTAGTTAGAAAAACGTAAACGTGACTCATACTCTTCACATGTTTCTTGAACAATAAGTGATCAAAGGCAAGCAAATGGCTGGGTCATTTGCTCCAGGGATTCCTGAGACACATGAGCGACTCAAAGCTCCAGATAATCGTAACGGTTTTGGTGCAGAGCTAGAGAGTGTGGAGGAGCTGGGAAGTTGCAGGGTGTGGGGTTCTGCCCCTTTGCCAATCTTCACCCGTGGGGCTGAGCAGGGCCAACTCACCTGCACACAACCACCCTTGTTAGTGCAAGGCACAGTCAGACATTATGCTTTTGAAACCCAGGTCAATGACTACAGCTTTGACTAACTGGGTTTACCAAAAAAAAAAAGTTTTTACTACGATCCCTCAATGAATAAGGGCTTATCCTCAAAGGGACCTTTGCTGTCTGGGAGCTTGGAAGTGCTGACACCTTCCCCTCAGTGACATATTCGGGGAGGGGAAGGGAAGCCAAACCATCTGTGCCCTGGACCCTTACTCCCCAACCAATAGCCTCCCTCCTCCACAGTTGCTCCACCCAGGGCCGGCTCCAGGCACCAGCTTACCAAGCAAGTGCTTGGGGCGGCC